GTAAAAATCTGTTGGTCGGCTGAGCTCAGAGCATTGCGCTTTCCAGATCTTCAAATCCCTGAGGGTTCAAGAGACCAAACCTCCAGCTTTCCTGAAGGTAGGGCAGATGGAGTCTTTGTCTCTTGGGCTGTGCCTGGAGACTCCCAGAATGGCAAGTCTGAAAGCCTGAAGTTTATAACTTGTGACACCGGGAGGAAGGCTCCTGCTCCACCTCATGACCTGCAGTTAGGGAACAGATTCAGTGCTTTTGTAGGTGATGAGGGTCTTGCTCCATCTTTAATAATGCCACCAACATTTGAAGATGGAAGTGTCTCCATTTACCATTTATGTTATTTTCAGTTATTGTACAATGCTTTACCAATCTGGTTAATCTGAGCCATGAAGGAGAATCAGGAGAAAGTGGCAAGTGATAATAGTAGGGAAATTCCCTGCTGCGGGGGGTGGAGACTCCCATCTGCTGACCTGACCTGTCATCTAGAGAGGCTTGTTGCTTGCCAGGAGCTTGGATCTGGAACGCTGTGGCAAAACTGCCAAGGCTTGTCTGGCCTTTAGATTACTACTCCGTGCTGCTCTCCCATGTAGGCTTCAGTGATACTGCCTGAAGTGATCTGGAAGGTTGTGGCTGTGTGGCTCTGGGGTGACAACCAAGTGTGTGGGAGCCTGAGTGGATTTCTCTTTGATGCTTTGGGTGAGAGAGAAAGGTGTGAGAATGAGTGGAGAGATCCTGTGAGTAACAGCTGGTTGCATAGTTGGTGTCAGCAGCAGAATTCTGCTTTTATGATCATAAGACTCTGGATTGGAAAAGATGGAATCCACCTGACTAGGGAAAAGTATCTTTGCTATCTTATGAGCAATTAGTGGACCAAGTTGGCAAACAAAATGTGTGGGGATATGAACAGTGGGGACCTTCTAATCGAAAAAGTCAGGAATGAAGGGGACCCTTTCTAAGTGTATCTGTATAGATGGGGGAGTGCCTTTCAGAATTACTCTGCTACTCTTTTCTGGGAAGTCAGCATGGCTGGTTGCCTCTCTGAAAAGTCTGTGTTCCAATGCATACAGCATGGGATGCAAAGAAGAGGAATTAATGTGTTTTCATGAAACTGCTGGGTTATGATGAGGCCTTCTTCAGGCAACTGGAATCTGGCTCATGTTGGCAGGACCTGGCTCTCATGGAGGATTTTAATCAGCCTGATATCTACTGGAGGGATAGAGAAATTTGTTTATGTACTGGGTTGGGTGTGAGCAATCCAGCACTCCAGGAAAGTTCTGGAGTGTGTTGTCTGCTCGATCTCATACTTGCAAAAGAAGAACTGTTTGTTGATCTGAAGGCTGATAGCAGCCTTGGCACCAATGACCATGAGATGGATGATAAAGTTCAGGATCCAGAAAGGAGGGGGGAAGAGGCAGAAAGCAGGATTTCAACCCTGGACTTGAAGAGGAAAGACTTTGGCCTGTTCAGGGTTCTGGAACCAGTGGTAATGTCCAGGGCAAGGTAAACCTTCCCTCAGTGGAAGAGAATCAGGTTAGGTAATATTTAAACAAACTGGTCATGCACAAGGCCGTGGCCCAGGTGTGGTATGTGCTGAGGGAGCTAACTGATATTGGGAGGCCCCTCTTGATAGTCTTTGAAAAGTCACTGTGATTAGGAGAGGTTCCTTAAGACTTGAAGAAAGCAAATGTACCTCCTGTCTTTAGGAAGAAGTCTCTTTTTTTTTTTTTTTTTTCTGTTGAGAACTACAGACTGGTCAGCCCCACGTGAACCACTGAAAGATGATGGAACAAATAATCCTAGAAGCCGTTTCGAAACATATGAAGGACAAGAAACTGGTTGGCAGTAGTTAGCATAGATTTATGAAGGGAAGTCTGAACAATCTGTTAGTTTTCTACCATGAGATCACTGACTCAAGTGTTTACGCTGACTTGATTAAAAGCAAAGCTATTAACACTTCCTCTCATATCTTGACAGACAGATGAGGTACAGACCAGGTGAGTGGACAGTGAGGTGGACTGAAAACTGTCTGTGATCAGCAGCACAGGGTCCAAATGAAGGCCAGTCATTGTCAGTGTTCCACTGGAAGGGTATAATGGGGCTGCTGCTTCTCAGTCTTCAGGAATGATCTGGATGACAGGGCAGAGAGGACTGAGCAAGTTGGCAGGTGTTGCAAAGGTGGGAAGTATTTGAGTCACCAGATGATTGTGCTGCCATTCATAGAGGCCTCAGTAGGCTAGAGAAATGGGCTGCCAGGATCCTCATGAGCAGAGGGCAGCGGTAAGTCCTGCAGCTGGAGAGGAATGATCCCAGGCAGCAGTACAGGCTGTGTCTGAGTGTGTGGAAAGCAGCTTTGTGGAGAAGGACCCAGGGATACAAGTGGAGACCAAGTATACCATGAGGAAGCACAGAAACTTGTGCTTATGGCAAGGGCAGGTCCTCACTGCCTGGGCTGCATTAGGCTGAGTGTTGTGAGGAGGTGGAGCAATGGGATCCTTCTGCCTTTCTCCTTTCTGGTGAGGCACGTGTGGAGTGCTGTGTCCAGTTCTGGGTCCTCCAGTACAAGAGAGAGATGGAGATAGTGGAATGAGTCCTGTGAAGAGCCATGAAGATGGCTGAGGGATTGGAGCATGTGACTTCTGAGGAGAGTGTGAGAGAGATGGGACTGTTCAGCCTGGAGAAGAGAAGGCTCAGGGTGCTTTTAGTGATGTGTCTGAAAGCATTTTTAGTCTTAAGGGCGATTGAACACTGGAATTTCCTTCCTTTGAGGTACTCAAAACCCTGGCTGCACAAGGCCCTGAGCAATTTGTACTTTAGCTGTCCCTGAATAAAGGGGTTTGATCTTCAGAATCTTCCAACCTCAGATGTTTTACAGAATATTCTGAGTTGAAAGGGACCCACAAGGATCATCAAGTCCAGCTCTGAAGTGAATGGCCCGTTCAGGGATCAAACCCATAACCTTGGTGTTATTAGCACCATGCTCTAACCAGCTGAGCTAATGGCAGGCTTATGTTGTGTGATTTAGGTAGTGGTTAATGGCTTGTACTCCACTTGCAAGCTGATAATAAATGAAGTACCACCAGGAGCTATCCTGGGACTTGCTGTGTTTAACATCTTTATCAATGACTGGAGAAGGAGTGGAGTGCATTCTTCCTGAGGTCTGTGGTTGATACCAAATTGGTGGAACAGTTCATTGTCCTGAAGAGTAGAGGGACCTGAGGATGGAGAAATGTGTCTCTTGGAGAAAAAAAAAGGGAGGTCCTAATAGCGTCTAACAGTGCCTACAAGTAGATGGAGTGAGTGCACAGCAGTGCATGGTGGGGCAATTAGACCAACGGATGAAAACTGATATAAGAATGGTTCCAGTGGAACCGTTCTCTCCATAGAGAGAAAACCTTTTCCCCAGTCAAGCAGTGGAGCAGATTCCCCTGTGTACCTTACCTACCTCTGTCCTTGGAGGTTTCATGTGGACAAAGCCCTGAGTAACCTGATTTGAGCTCAGAACTGGTCCTGCTTTGAACAGAGTGCTAAACTAGAGACCTGAGGTCCCTCCGGGCCTGACTGACTCTGATTTTTCAGTTTAGTTTCAGTGATGAATTTTTCATGTTCTGTTTGCATGTCAGCTTGTAATGTGTGGTGCCACTCTTCCTCTGCTGCTGTTCATTATGTAGTTTAGCAGGCCTCTTGTGAACTGGTTTTATAATGGTTTTAGACTTCACAGAAGAAGCAATAGTTGAATATTATAAGCCATAAACTTGTGCCTGGTATGTATCCGAAAGTCAGAACACTGTTTTAGCTATGACTTGCAGGCTCTGGAGGAGGGCAGAGATGTTCAGCATTGTGACTGTGTGACATTTTGGGGGTGGGAAGAAGTAACTCTGCTTTCCTGTCAGCTTAATTCAATTTAGTATGCAGGGCTTTTTATTCAGGCAGAACCTTTTTGCTGTCTGTGGTGTAATGGCTGGCTTTGTTTTGTGAGCTGGTCTTGCCTGTTTGCAGGCTAGAGCTTGCAGAAAACAGATGCCTGTTACTAGTTCTCATTTTGCTGTTTCGATGGTTGAAGTGCTAAATGTTTGGTGGAACGTCCTGGGGCAAGCTTTTCCACTGAAGTAAACAGGACTAAGGTTTTACAGATATGGCTGTCCTAGACCTCGCTAGTCTGGCTCCTCCTAGTAGATATTTGATGAACCCCAAAATACAACTATGGCTTCCATATTTTAATGCCCTAGGTCTAATATTTTAGATTATCTGAAGGAATTTTTCTGTCTTTATGAGTTCTCTAATTCTCTGCAGGTTTCCAGGAGTGGAGAGACCTCTTGGTTAAAGACAAAGATACACCATATAATGGTAGCAAGGTTATAATGCAAATCTGATAACATTCAGAGCAGTAGGAGCAGTAGGAGTATTTTATCTTTGATCCTCTGATACATGATCACAAGTGAAAGTAAATTTTTCTCCCTTTGGTGAAACCCTGTGGGAGCATGTTCATGCAGCAAAGCTTTGCATTTCTATATAAACAACAGTGAAACTCGGTGTGATGCAAACAATTCCTTTTAAATATTTTTTAGGTTGATAGTGATGCCTTTAGCAAAGTAGTTGCAGTGGCTTCGAATGCTTACGAGTTTAAGAACCTTTCCAGAAATAAAATGCTTTAAAAGTGCAGTGAACAAAAGCCAAACTTTGTCCAAGAAATAAAAATAAACTTCTTAATGCTGCCAGAGTAAATACTGCTGAAGCATCACAAATTGATTTCCTTTAAACAGTAAAGTGCATGCTATTTGTTGCCTTACCATGATGGGCATTCCTGTGTTTTCACTTTGGCCTCCGTTGCAGCAGTTACCCACGGAATGTTACCATTACGTGTTGCCTATTTTGATGTGCACTCTTGGTTAAGCTGAATGTGTTACTTTCACTGAGAATATATAATTGCATTGATGTTTTCCTATGCTTTTCAAAGCCATGAAAACTTAAATGTAGTTAATATCTCTGCATACGTGTGTTTCTCTTTTAGTGGAGGCGATAGTGGAGTTTGACTACAAAGCTCAACATGATGATGAGCTGACGATCACTGTCGGTGACATAATCACCAATATCAAGAAGGATGATGGAGGCTGGTGGGAAGGACAGCTCAAAGGCAGAAGAGGTTTGTTCCCTGACAACTTTGTAAGAGTGAGTACAAAGTGGAACCGTTCTTGCGTTGTGTGTATAAGTTTTATGTACTGTGCTGTTCAGGGTAAATATCTGCCTTTATGTCATGATATTTCTTGTATCCAAACTCATAATATATTGCATATACACGTATATTGCATATATACAATATATTGCATAGATACATTACAGTGTTCTATGGAGGCAGTGTTACAAAGAAAAGATTATACTTTCTTTGCAAACACAATGTAGTTTTGATATGCTGGAAATAAAAGAAGCTATCCCTACATTTCTCAGCTGTTCAGTGATTATGTTTGACTTAGTGAGAACAAAGTGGTTATTCTAGAACAACTTACATGTCACTGCATTTGAAATGTTTTCTCTGTAACTGCTTCTGCTTCTCTGGAACACATTCTTAGGTTTTATAGAAGCTTTTTTTGTGAATATTTATTCCTGGCTAAACCAGTTGAGAATAATTAAAGTGGATTTTTTCCATACAGTTGCCTATAAAAAACTTTTCAAAAAATCATTACTTTGTGTTTTGTGTAATGTACCAAATAGCTTACAGTAATTCTGGTTTTAGGAAAGCCATTCAGAGTTTTAGAAACCTTTTTTTTTTTTTTTTTTTTAATTGGCATCTGTGTGCACACATATGTCTGCACATATGAGGCCAGCTATTAGTACCTCTGGGCCTCCTTGATTTGTCATTGCAGACTGAGGCAGTTAGTTTCTATAAACCTCTATAAACTTGGCTCTCCATTATGGAAGAGAGAGCCAGAACTACAATAAATTACATAAATGGATTTTATGTTAATCTTTTACAACAGCTTCAGAGGATCTTTGGTACTTTCCCTTTTCTAAGGGTATAAGTGTCCTTTTTTTGTTTTTTCTTCTGTGTGAGCCTGTTGTGTGTTTAGACATATGCACATAATGAAGTAATTTCAGTTTGCTTCGATAGTGCTGCATATGTCGAGGTAATTTGGGAAAGTGGTCTGGTGGCAAACGTAGCCAGCCCATAGCGGGGGGTGTGGGGGTGGACACAGGAGCCTCAGGTGTTTCTGTGGGGACAAACATACTCACATCCTAATCCTTGCTCCTGTCACTGCCAAGAAGAAAGAACAGCTCTGTGTCTGTCAGGCAGTAAAGATGAGGAGGAAGTAACAGCCTCAGTGAGATGAAAGGGAGTGGAAGATGAAAATGGATACCCTGTTTCTTGTTAATCTCTGAAAATCCACATTTTGGGCTAGGGGGAAGAAACTATTTTAGTTCTCATTATGTGTTGGTAATATTTTTCTGCTTGAACTCTGATGAACTGTGAAGTTCGTGGGACAAATGTAGGCTTCATCTAAGCTTTCTCCTGGTTGAATCTGCTGCTGATTTTAGGAGGTCCTGGATTTAGTGTTCTAAACAAATATGGCCTCTGAATTTCTTCATGGAAATAAAATAATCTAAATATGAATATTTGCAAGTTCTCCCCCTTCGTATGTGATTTTTAAGGCCTCTTCTTTCTAAAATGACTTCAAATTGTGGCATCCTCTCACATAATTAAAATATAAATAGCTTTTTCTCAATAGAAATTTCTAAACAGTAAATAGTTTAGATTTTCACAAAATTACAAAACCATTGAGTTGGAAGGGACCCACAAGGATCATCGAGTCCAGCTCCTAGCCCTGCAGCCATTCTCATAAAATATTACTCCCAGCTCTTTCCTTCCTTTAGTGCCATGGTCTAGTAGCCACGGTGGTGTGTTGGATCAAGGGTTGGACTTGATGATCTCAGAGGTCTTTTCCAACCTGACTGATTCTGTGATTCCTTCCCTTCTCCTTTCTTCCTTTTTTTTTTTTTTTTTTTTTTTTTTTTTTCTTGTCAGCATCCAGGGCTGTCTTCTAAAGAACTGAAAACCACATTGTGTTCAAGCTGAGAATGAGGAATAATTTAAGGTCAAATATGTTTTTCATAGTTGAGCATTTCCTCTCTTAATTAGGTAACATGGAGTAGAAGATACAAATTTACCAAAAGTATAGTTAGTTATGAATTTCTTGAGTGAAAACCTTTATGTTTCTTCAGTTTTTCCTTTTGAATAAGTTCATGATGACATTCCAAGTAAACTGTTGAGGTTTGCAAAAATTGAATGTTTGGCTGAAATGAAACCATGAGATTAACATGGTAAAGACTCCTGAATGGTCTCTGTTAGCATTGTGCACAGATTATGGAAGTGCAGTTTGGAAGAAAAGATATGGAAATCAGAAATGAAAAAAACTTAGGGAAATGTAATATATTGAAATTTTTATGAAAAGACAAAAATGTAAAGTGTCACTTAAGAAAATAAAACCCTCCCTATTTTTCAAGGGAGTAGTAGGTCATGAATGTGGATAAGACTTTTGGAGTTGCCTGTAGAAAAAATAGTTTTAAATTTCTTGGAATAAATGCAGATTAGGAGAACACTGAAGTGGAGTTGCCTGAAGACAGATGTGAGAAAGAAAAGGAAAGGGGAGGTAGCAATGATATGTATGCAGTACATGTGCAGTAATTTTTTTTTTGAAGGGACTTTCACTATGAAGTTGTATCAGAGGTGCTTCCTGTTCCTGAATCTGCAAAACAACTGCTCTGAATTTTTTGTATACGGCCACGAGAAAAACAGATTCATACCCTTCTTATGCTCTGCAATCAATATGCAAGGCGTAACAGAAAAGGTATTTGAAATTTATTTTCTGTTTCCACTGCTGAGTAGTCTGGGGCTATGGTCACTTGGAAGATTTTGTGGAAGAAGTTCATCTAAACATGAGAAAAAATCTTTGGTCTCTCTTTAAGATCTGATTTACCTCTGTCGGTCTTTGAAGATGCCTACTCTTGTTAGAGTTACTGGTGCTGAATACGTAAGAAATGTACAAAAGTGTATCTGGTTGTTGTCTTTTTCTGTTTTCTTTCAAATAGAAGTATGAGTGGCGAATTATGTACTGTTCCTACCTGTCTGTTTTACTTCTCAGTTAAGCAGCTGAAAAAGAGGAGGTAGCAGGTGATTGCAGTGTTGTTCATTTACATGGTATAAAGTTGGTTTTCAATATCTTTCTGTCTTGAAAACTTTAACTTGAAATCCATACTCTGGAGTGTAAAACTGTGTTTGTAAGTGTGACAGCGTCTGAGGCAGATAGATTTTGCTGATAGCAAATGAAGATGCAGAAAGCAGGAAACTGGTGCAGAGCCATGTTTGCTGGCTTTAATTTTCAAAGCGAATTCTGTGTGGGATTGAATAGTGTTATACTGGGAAACTGAATTTGCTGCATGTGACAACCTTAAAGCTTGTCTGTACTCCAGAGGGCTTGCCAGTATTGCTAGCAGAATGGGGGAGGTAAATTTATTTTAAAAGAGAAGTTTAATGGTAGTTGTTTTTCAAATTCTGGTGTGTAGCTTGTGTTTTAGAATCAATGAAACAGGACAGGGACTTCATGTAGCTGTACTGCTGCCTCGGGTCAGAACGGCAACCTGGATTTCTTGTTATACAAGGAGAATACAGTCTTTAAATAGTGCATATCAGTTGTAGGATGTCAGGGATGTTGATGCTGAATCGTAGGTACATGGCGGAGATCCTTATCTGTTGCTTGTCATTTAATTTTCTTCTCTGTGTTTTGTTTGGTTGGTTTTAATCTCCGCAACCATCCAGAGGTTGCAGGGGACTGTGATTCCTGGTGCTTGTTACACATCCCTACCCATCCCAGTTAGTGCTTTCATAAAACTTTTCATCAGACTGGTCCCGTGCACGTGCGGGGGCCCTTTGCAACCATAGTTTGGCTCCTGGGAGGGAAAAGAGAATATTCCTCATATCCCAGAAGGCTTTGGTTCCTGCAGTGCTTTCTTGCTTCCCTGGCCTTTCGGCTGCTGTTTGGTACCTGTCAGGTCAGAGAACCAACCAACTCCTGTTGTCCTTCCCTCCTGCTTTGCCAGTGACTTTAGCACTCCCTGACACCTCTGCGACTTCCTGCTTTTGCTTTGGGGCTGTAGGTTTGTATCGCTCTCACTGCTCTCCTCGGCACTCGGAATACTGTTAATTAAGTGATGGCTGGGTCAGCTTTGTGAAGTAGCTGCTTGTCGTGGTTCAATTCACTTAAGAGTTGGACTCAGTGATCCTTCCAACTCAGAATATTTTGTGATTCTATGAAAGTTGTGGCGTCAGTGGAGGCACTGAGTTTGTCTGCAGACTGGGGAAAACGGTGTTATTTCTGTCCATACCTGAAAAGATAACTTGCTTTATGGTTCAGTGAATGGTTATGTTGGGCTTTTAGGTTTGATTTTGGGTTTTTTTTAAACATACTTGCCAAGAATTTGCAATTCAGTTACTGAACTTTTTGTGTGTCTGTGTGTGTGGTGGAAATATTACTAGAATACTGTCTATGTTTTAAGGAAATGTTTTAGATTGTAGAATCCTTGTTGTCTTGGGAATGAAAGCCAAGAGTACTAGTTTCTTACTCCAAGTTCTGGGTATGGCTATTAAACTTGTTATCCTTACAGTGAAATGCAAGAGAATATAATTAGTGAAAGAAACTCAGGTTGGTTCCATCATATGAAAATGTTGTCTTTTTGAGCTTTTGTTTATGTCAACAGCAATTAAGATTTTGTGGGGAGAAACATAACATCACGGGTGTGTTATTGTGTATTATTGTTGCTCTTACTGTGGTGAAAGTAAAACTAATGAAACAAAATCTTTCTCCCTCTCCCAGCCCATCTCCTCAAAGATACAGATCCACAAGGTGGTCTTGTACCAGTCAGTAGTCTCTGACTTGGCTGCATTCACTCTTAAAAGGGAACTGAGCACTCTGGGCTGTCCTGGATGCCCAAGGTATGATTACAAATGATGTCACACCTCAACCTGTTCGTCTGGATTCAGAGGAGATGGGAGAGTTCCCGTCAAAGCAGCTGCCCTGGGTGTTTGGCCTGGAAGTGATTTGAGACTCCCAGGCAGTGAGAGAGGCTCTTTCCCATTCCCTGTGACAGGGAACTGGTGATACTCCCAGCTGGATGGGAAG